AGCCTTGAACTCTCTCAGCTTATTATTCTTTTGCACTTGTATCTGCAGGCCCTGGCCATCTAACATAGCTTTAAAAAAAAAAAAAAAGTCATGCTAGATTACATTTTAAGAATCCTTAATACTTTTATCATTATGCATAAAAGAAAATAATCTCCCTGTTGACGCTAAAGGGCAAGCCAAAAACAACCCAGCTTCATTCCCAGATGGTGTCCGAGTTCATTTGCAGCTTTAAACAATTAAAACACTTCCACTAATCTATAACTTTTGGAAACTTGAAGGTTTTTTGTGGGGGTTTTAAATCACAATTTGAAAGGCAACACATTTTTCCTGTGTCTTTTTTCTGATTTCTTATATTTTCAGCATGTGCATGCCATAAGAAACTCAGCAAGACACTCACATTTTCAAATAAGAGATGTCAGCATTGCCAGCCACACACTCATGAATCAGAAGTAAAGCCTTAAATCAGGACAGTTAAAAATAAGCTGTGTGATTTCCTCTACCACTGAAGTACTATGTATTTGAACCTTGTTATTGGCTTCGGGTTTCTAGGTCTTCAGGACATACTGGTTTCATATTTCCTTGCTATTCGCTATTAACGCAAGAACTAGATACCACTCTAAAATGGTAAATTTAGTGAGAATTTTAACACAATTTATATTCAAAGTTCAGTAGTATTTAAAAGGTGCAGCTCAAATGACTCCACTAGAATAGCACAGTATTGCAGCAGAAGAGCCTCAGGAATCGAGCCTTTCCCGAATAAGTTTGATATATAGGCTCTATTGCACCTTAAACCAGAGACCATCATAATTTCAGCAAATTAGTTTTCACAGGTACTGGGAACCTCATTTGAGCTCACCAAAAAAAATTAGGCCTCCTATTTAGGAAACTAATCACAGCTCTAGGAACAGTTCTTAGCAAAAGAAAGGTGGTCTGGATGTCAGCACCTTCCAGCTACTCTTTCTACAGAACATCCTCCAGGAAAAAAAAAACTTGTACTGCAGCCACTCCGCAACTCATACCTTGGGGACTTCTTCCTCCACCTGAATCACATACATATTCTTTTTCTTCCTGGAAGTACGAAGCCAAGGGAGGCTTCAGAAATACCTCCCTCAGGCTGAGCACCTAGGGCCCATATTCTGTATATGGCCCCAGCAGTAGTGGCTTCACCACTGCTTGACCTTCACTCATTGCCTCATTGCCATAGTCCTCATTAAACTGGCCTTGCCATTAAGGGTGTGGAGCAGACTGCAGCATCAGGCAGCTCCTAGTCCTCAAAGGAACAAGCTCCCTATTGAGCTCCCTCCTACTAAGTCCCATGCCAAAAGAGGTATAGGAAGAGCAGCAAGCTTACTAACAAATAGGATTGCAAGTTTTCTGGCCTTAAAAGGAGAAAGCCCCTCTGTCACAATCAAGATTTTTGATTAGGTGCTGACTTTACAGTGGAGGGGTTTAAAGGCATGAGTGCTAAACTGATGTCTACCTCATTTTATTTTTGGTAATAGCTAGCATATCTCCTTTCTGCATTCCATGTCACATAAAATATATCATAAATATTGGTCCAATAGGTATACACACACTTATATAAAAGGCATTCTGTACAGCTCACCTAACTTCATTCTTCCTCGCCCTTCCTTTTCACATTTTCAGTGCAACTTCAGTAATGTTATTTTATGTTTCAGATTAACATTGACAGTCCTGTGAGGAAAATGATTATCAGGAATCTTCACGAACCGACAGACTCCTGTTTTGATGAAGCACAGAGAATAGTTTACATGCATATGGAAAGAGATTCTTACCCCCGATTTCTCGAATCAAAGTTCTACCAAAAACTCAAACACAGCCTCCAGACTAATAGCAATAATTCAATGGTAAATTAAATAGAAGGGCTGAAAATTTAGAAGATTTCTTTTGGCAGACAAATGTTTCTAAAATTTAAAGTAAATAGGAAAAAAAAATCAGGCAGTAGATGAGTACTGTTTTTAATCTGCTAAACTGTTATGTCGATGTTAGAATTAATGAGGAACTATTGTCCCATCTTTCCTTTCTTCTCACATGGGAGAGTTCTGACCCCTCCCCCCAGTAAAAGTCTGAAAAATGGTGGAAAACCTCAAATTCAGAAAGTTTTCAGCCAAAAAATAGTATGACAGTCATTTATTGAAATTCAACAGCTCTAATAGCATATTTTCGGTATTCTTAATTTGAAAGATCTGATATAGAAAAGAGTGAGGCTGCTAGGAAATAAATGCTTATTTGACTGTTTACAACATACAGGAGGAAAAAAAAAAATCTGTATTGCTTCACTTACCAAGTTTGTTACATTGAAAGAATATAACGAGATCAAAGAAAGAGCAACAGCCAAAGTTGAATTTGTTACTTCCAGCTGTTTGCTTAACCTTAATTTATGAAGTAGAGTTTTCATATGGTGTAAAGTTGATTTTACACTGAATTACGATATATAATATGTTACAAAGGTACTTAATCTACCGTACTATAATATTATGCACCTTGCACTAGTGTTTCCTATGTTTATCTCTACAGATAAAACTCTTATTAATTCATGTCTTTTTCTGGATATGGACAAATATACTCTTTAAGCACCCAAACAGTTAGATGCAAGGAGAGCCAACATTAAAACATCATCCTCTAATAAGAACAGCTCTCTCCATCTTTCACTCTCACACATTAACTGCAAAAGTAGTCTTGCTGATCTATTGATCAGGTATCAATGTACACTGCATTTTGTAAAAATAATAAAAAACCCACACACGTACAATCTTAACACTTAAAACTGGAACCTCTCAATTTTTAGTGGACTTCAGCACAGACCCTGAAGGCCGCAGTAAGTCAGGGCTGCTTCTAGCACTTGCTCAGTCCACATTATTCCAAGGAATGGAAAAGACCAAGTTCCATAATCGAGTGACTCTGGCAGCAGCCCTGCAAGCCCCGATAACATCACACTGATCCTTTAGGGTGATTTCACCCAAAAAATGAAATATTTAGTCAGATTACTTTATTTGACTAAGGTTACTTCAATTATGTTGCCAGTTCACTCTTTATAACAATTTACTTCAAGCTGTAATTTGCTGCCTAGCTAAAAAGGAAATTTTTTTATGTAGAGATATATATACACATATATATCTTTGTGTCATCTCTCTGAGCCACAGACTGTTGGAGTATGCAGGAGGTGAGAGGATGCTCTCAAAAACAAGAACAAAACAAAAACACTGTGTGCTTTTTTTTAATACTTTCTCTAGTTTTCTGCTGTTGTAAGAGGCAAAACTCTGGGACAGACAGACCTTCAATCTGGCTTACTATGCTTCTTGTGAAGTCCTGTTGCCCCGTTCTGCTAAAAACATTGGTATTCTTTGAAGTCTGGATCAAGTCAAGCCCCTGGCTACTGTTGGTTAGTATGTCACAGGCCTCTTCCCTTCCGTATCCTCCTAGAATCGATACGAGTTTATGGAATACACCACTCCGAGTTGCTTAGACAAATAAACTGACTAGACTTCCTACTCATTGTAATGGGTGGGTCCGATTATTTGTGTGCTGTTGTATCACTGTGTTCTAACTGTGCATACATCCTAGTGTCAACACCCGAAGTGGGTTACAACATGATCACTTACAATGTACTCTCAGTTAGAAAGGCTCCTGGAACTCTTAGTCTATTATTTTTATGAAATTCTCTTGCTGGATTTATGTCTATGTCTAAAGAAAAACACAAAGCAAGCGTGAGCCTAGCCTAAGTTGTACAGAAGGCTTCAAGGGAAGCTCAACATTGTGAGAAAAGAAGTTGTCAACATAGGAAATAACTTTTCCCTCTGTACTGACTTTATATACAAGGATTATCATATTAAGATTCAGCTCAGATAAAGCTACTCAGCAAAAAAACTCTCTACAGGAAATCCAGGCAGGGACAGCGCAGTCATTGCTGCTGCTAACTTGGCTATTTGTACGTTACATTGGACTTTGGCTCAATTAACCTTGCAAACATCACAGCCTCAAGGGCAAAGAAAAACTGCAGGAACCATTGAGAGGCAACTGCTGCAGAGAAGCAGATCTGCAGCCACAGCCAGCCTGGGCGGAGGCTGAAACGAGCTCCTGGGCTAGCAGTCACAGAAGGACATCCGGCAAGTCAAAGTCAGGCTCACGGTGGGGGGAAATCTGCGACACTGGGGAAGGCTGCCTGTTTCTGCGAGCGTTAGGAATTCAGACAGGCTAGACGCTGGTCCTTGGATGGGAGAGGCTTGTAGCGCCCAGAAAGGCTACTCCTGCCTATGCAGGCTTAACACACCACCTCCTGAAGGGGTTACACCTGAGGCTGTTCAGGCAGCGAGCTGATCTCTGAGAAAGGCGATTATCCAGGACAAAAGAAAAAGGTCCAGAGATTGCTCAGAGAAACCACAGAGGAATGGCAAACACAATAAGTTTTTATGGCATGAAATGATATCAGAATAAACCCCGACCAAGTCATATGCTTAACATCCCTATCGCTGCAGAGCTTATCAATTACATATTTACTGAGGACTTCCTTCTAGAAATGACTAAAAGGTTTTAAGCTGGGGGAGGGAGGGAAGTTCCTTCCCTTAAAATAGATTTATTGTTAATTGGTAAAGATATTGCTCTTGATTTTCCTTCTCTATTAGCACATGCATGACAACAACAATGTATTGCATCAGGTCACACGATTCATAATAACACTAGCTAATGGCGGCAGCAGTAACAAATCACTGCTCTTAACGTTTTCATTAATAGCGCTTGAATGAGTTCAGATGCACTTTCCATTGACGGACAGCATTAAAAGGTATTTGCTCACAGTAGCTTTTAATGATTAATGTGAAGAAAGATAAAAGTTTAAAAATAGTTAACTAAGTTGGCAGAAATCTTTCTTCCCACTTTCACTTAATAAGAACTAAAAAAATAGAATTAAAAATTCTAGCAATGGCAGTTCTTCAAACACATTACATTTAGCAAGATAAAATTTACAGGGATAAAATCTACTATATTGATTAACTGTACCTGACCCTGGGACTGTTGACCTGTTGGGACTCCCTAAAAAGCACACTAGAAAGTTGTTGTTTGTTTTAAAGAGCTGATAATTAGATCATATTTAGCCTTTAAATGTGAACTGTGTTGGCCTACTTTCTTAATAATTAAGTGATGAAATTCATACTGTGTTGTGACACTGCAGTTTTCATGAGTTTCACGTCCACTCTTGGTGTCCAGGTGATGATAAATGGAGAGTAACAAATGCAGATGTCAGATCAGGTCTAAAAGACACCAGGTAAAAATCTGCAACTAGAGCGAGTCAGAACAAAATTACGAGAATAGCATAGACCATCCTTTTCTACACAGATGAGTGTTAAATGAGACTGTACAGTGTCTCTTTGTAGCTTAACCAAAATCCTTCACAAAGTTAGCTGTTAGGAGTTTTTTCCCCCTCAATATAGAGCATACAGTTCTGTTGCACTCCCGGGTCCCTTCAGAAGGTGATGTTTAGTGTAGTGTTCAGTAAACATAGGGGAAAGCACATTGGGTCAAGCCTTCCAAAAAGAGTATTTTGCTGCACATGCCACATTAGACAGCTGGATTAGTGGGCTGTGGATTGTAGTCCTTTCCAGTGGTATGATACCAAAGTTTTCAATGCTTCCAAACTGAGCAAGTACTGATGAAGATGAACCATCATATTACCCTCCGAACAACATTCAAAATACATACTGAAAGGATGTGAATCATATGCATGTTTTAGGATACACTGAAGGCTAAGCAAAACCTATGAAATTAAACATCCCTTATGGTGGTCTTGATCATCAAGAGAGTTTTAAACTTCTTAGCTCAGAACAAGACCACTTTATTCTGAGAAAAAAAAGTCAGCCTTTTACTAACTCATTTTGTGTTTCCTTTCAATGTGCTCGTGATTTAAAAATCTTGAGTCCAATCTCTTAAAAACAAGAAAAAAATTCACATTTAAAATAGCAGCCACAATCTGATTAGAGTACACAGGTGATTACTACTTTTCCATACACGCACTAAAAAATAGTAGAGAAACAGGTGTGGCACATTGTATAGAGAAATAATTTAAAGCATACAAGTAACAAGTTAAAAAATTGGGAAAGCATATAGTGTACCATTCTTGCAGATACTATACTTCACTGTTCTCACAACCTGCACGTTTATGAAGTCTATCACACCAGTAACAAGGAATCAGTCATTGCAGGCTGAATTGTATAATTGGTTCTTTATATGAGTGTAATTAGTAGGAGCGCAATAGTATTATATAATGGATTACAGGCAGTGTCTTCTCATTGATTTTAATGTGTCTGCATGCCTTTATAGAAACAGCGACATGGAATCAGAAAACTTCAAGCGTAACGCAGGCTGTCAGCACTAAGTACATATACACTCTGGCTTGACTCAATTGCCTAAACACTACTAGGTAGCGTGCAGTGTTTATTTGAGATGCCCTTGGGGTGCCCAGGAGGTCCTCTGTGGCTGGCTGATCTGACACAGGTAGGTGGACACACTGCCCACTTCCCATCACAGTGGCAAGCGGAGGTCGTCCAGGGTATGCTGGGGTAACTCAACAGCACTAAACGCCTGCGTTTATGCAACAAAATCAAGCCAGCTTTCTCAACTATACCAGAGGCTTCACATTTGCTAATCTTACTCACCCATCATCACATCTCAAACCATTTACTGAAAAGCTGTTCTATCCATAACTTTATTTTTTCCCTTAAACTGCTATCATAGTTTACCTCACTGCAGATGAGCAGGCTTATACAGAGATTTGTCTTGTACTTGGGATTTTGCACAACTCCGAGTACGTTGCAAGTATCCAGGGCCTAAGTAGAGACATGTACCTCAGGATGGG